AGCATGGGTCAGACGTCATGAATTGTTTGTCCACAAATCATAAGAAGAAAATGGAGATGAAGAATTTCTTCAATAAAATCTCTAAAGTTCAATCACATATTTAGGGTAGGGCAAGTTGAGATCTACATGTATGATTTTTTAAAAGGGAAAACATATTGTTTAATTTAAAATTTTCAATGTTAGGATTTTGATCTGATAGTTTTCAAAAGAAGTAATGTTGATCGGTTTTTGGAGCAACAACTTTTAAAAATGATAGATTATACCTAACTCAATTATTCAATTACATAAGGTGGTTTTTACCGCCTTTTTTAAAAAGTGCAAATAGTTTGATCCATGAATAATTTTTGCAAAACTAAAAGGATTTGATTGAAGTATCAGTTGATAAAAATAAAATTGGAGAAATATTTTACATTAAATCCAAAATAGTTTGATCAGATCTCAGATCTAAACTTGGACAGTTAACTCTTGATTAAAAGCTCATTCAATCCAAGCATCGGACATTTTCACTTTATCAAAAGCTCGCTCGTGCAAAAACCTACTTTGCAAAACACTCTCAAAAGCACACTTTTAAAAAATAATTACATTTTTTTTTTTCAGAAGTTCTATATCCGCTATATAAATTTTGAGTTCTAATATATTATTGAGCCTCTCTTTAATTGTTTATCTACTGTATAGAAAACAGAAAATGCATATAATAAATCTAACTTTTATTTGGAATGAATGATGAAAAAATCACATAAATATATAAAGGCAATTAAATGCAAGTTACTCATTTGTTAGAACTCATTTGTTGAAACTTTTGAGAGTAAAACAATAATTCAAAAAAGATTTAAGTTTTATTTTAAACAAACTCAAAGTTGAAAATATTTTAAAATAGAATCGTTCATTAAACAAGTTCGATATTGGTCTGGATTTTATTTTTTATTAGAACTTTCTGATTTTTAAGTATCTATGTTGTATGTTTTAATTTCCTCTAATATCTCAATTAAACACTGTGGACAACAAATTTTTCTATTCTAAATAACATGTTTCTAAAGGTAGATTCTCCAAAATTATCTGAAACAAAGCATTCAATTATATCATTGATTGCAGTGTCACATGTATGATGTGTCATGTAAGAGTTCTGAAAATGAAAAATGAATGATGTGGACATACAGAAAAATGTTTTGTTTATGAAGGGCGGCCTAAAAAAAATGCCGTGCCTCTTCATTGCTGATATACGTGTTTTAGCAAATTCTTACTCCAAAACTGTGGTTGTAGTACGTGAATGTCTTATTGTTTGTAAGATAATGGAGATCGAAGATTTTCTTCAAAAAAAAAAAATCTCTCAGGCTCAATCACATATATAGGGTAAGGTGAGTTGAGAGGTTTAGAAAGGCTCAAAATAAACTTTTGTCAGTTTTTTAAAAAGAATAGATTCTCTCTCTCAAGTGTTTACTTTAATCAGATAAATAGATTTTTTTAAATTTTCTCCGTGTTTACCTTAATCCTGTATTGTCACGTGAGTTGGTTTTTTCGTCAAGCTTTTATCGTTTTTCTTTTCAAAGAATGCAAATAGTTTGATCAACCAAATTAAAGCTTTATTGTTTTTCTTCTCAAAGACTGCAAATAGTTTGATCAACGAATAATTTTTGCAGAACTAAAATGGTTTGATTAAAGTCTCAGTTGATAAAAAAAATCCAGAATTTTTTTTTATTTTATTTTTATTATCGTCATGAAATCCAAAATAGCTCAATCAGATACTCGACCCACCCCGGACAAAAACACTCGATCAAAAACTCAATCCATCGAAGCAACGAACATTTTTACTTGATCAAAGGCTAGATAAATCAGTCTGGAAAAACATACTTTTGAAAACACTCTCAAAGCACTCTTAAAAGGATTCTGCAATTTTTTTTATTTTTTATTTTATTTAGAACTTTTATATTGGTTATAAATATGGAGTTCTAATCTCAATTATTGAGCCTCTCTCCAATCTAGGGTTTGGCATAGATTCATTCCGTATATGTGGTCGAGAGATCCAATCTAGGGTATGACATAGATTCGTTCCATATATGTGGTCGAGAGATTCAGAGCAATGTACACATAAAAACCAACTAAGGGCATATTGTACGACTAATGAATTTGTTGACGGATCAACTGCTTAGAGATGAAAACACTTGTTTCTCAAATAGTGCCGCTATCACGCTCCGGGAGCGCTCTCACTTCCATAGAAAATAATCTTCTCTCAATTTTACATTATTTAATCATGTGACTTTGATATATCGGAGCAGTTCTATCCTCCCACCTGCATGAATATAACATTTGAGGATAAATTAACGTCATGAATGAAACTATATATATAATTTGAAGAATAATGATGACAAACCTTAGCTAGGCTTTGGAGAAAAAATAGTTGGCTAAAAGTTCAAAATGTTAATTTTTGTTGGGACTAGTTATGCATAATATTTAGGGGAATAAAAAACAGATGTTTGTTGCTTGGGAATTATTTGAAATCATTTGCATGAGTTATAGAATTTAAGAAAACATTTAGAATATCCACGAATTGTTCAAACATATCATATATACTAAATATTGAATAATATCATATGTTATTTAAGGCTGTCAAGTAACCCTGGCTTGGCTGACCCAACCCGACCCGGACCCGGACCCGGACCCGTTTCAGATGAAGGCAAGGACAATGAAGAAGAAGAAGTAACCTTGGGCTTACTAATTTTATAAAATTCATTTAATTTTCAAAGAAAATCTGAAGCATTTCATGACTCATAAATGTGATAAAAGGACAGAAAATGTACACCAGTAACACTGCACATGACCCTTCTATGTTTCACCACAGAAAAATGAAATCATATACAGGGAGTCACCGAAAAAGCATCAAATACATGAAGACATTTAAATGAAATACAATTTATAAAGACAAATAACAGATGGCAATCACATTCTCGTTTCTTTCCATTATCCTAGGGCTCCCTTAAACCTTCTCTAGGTCTTAAATGAATTATGTACATTTTTATTTACATTAAACAAAAGGAATAGACTACCATCCGAAATTCACCACGGCAAACTGGCTTGCTATGCGTTCCACGTATGTATGTTTACCCCACTGGTAGTCGAGTGTTATAAGACCTCTGAGCATGACCCCGAGATGTTGAGTTCAACTCCTCGGTGTCAAGTCTCTATCCTAGGCTTACTCGATACCCTACGTTACTTGCAAAAAAAAGTATGCAAACGGAAAGAGAAACATAGGACAAGTCAAACTACATTCAGGTTCACAAACTCTCGCACAGAAAGTATGCACGCATGTGTGTGTGGGTGGTGGTGGTGGTGGTGGTGGTGTGTGTAACAAGAAAAGAGAGACCAACATAGGAATCCAGAAAAGGAACTAATCTCAAAAACCTAGTATGTGCACAATCTATGACTGCCCAAGTGCAACGTTCAAATCCAAGTGTTGGCTTTCTTGATGGCTAAAAGTATTATTCGATTAACCAAAACAACACATGAAAAACTAGGCTATAATAGGGCTGCTCCATGTTACTCGTTAAGGGTATTGTGTATCATGAAACAGCATTTCAACTCTCATCTTGCAGTTCAAAACGATTAAAGTTACAGGATAACACCCTTCCAATGTCCCAAAACACCCACAAAACATTAAAATTAACAAGATAATATTTACTAAGCAACTAATTTGTATTAGTGTGTGGCCTAAGCAGTAAATGATGCCAATTATATTCCTTGTAGCAGCCCATTTTTGGTGCTTTAGTTTCTGTAGCATTGTAAACAACATTAAATTACCTTGATAGCCAGTGCAGTATCTGATGGAACCGTCGACATCAGAAATTCAAGGTTAGAACCCAAGGTCCACTCTGGATTTATGTTAACGACATTGACATAAACGCTTTGTTGATGAACAGTAATTTGAAATCAACAATTTCATCACTACGACAGCTCCACCAATTGTCATTTCTTCTAATTTATCTTCAGTGTACCCCATCATACAAAGACGCTAAACTTGAAATCAACCACCAACACATTATAAGTGTCATTATGCATCATCTAAAAACCTGGTATGTGCACAATCTAAGGCTGCCCAAGTGCAACTGTCAATCTAAGTGTTCACTTTCTTAACGGCTAAAAGTAATATACACTAATCCAATACAACATATGAAAAAGTAGGCTATAGTGGGGCTGATCCTTATACTCGTTAAGGGTATTGTGTACCATGAAACAGCTTTTCAACTCTCATCTTGCAGTTCAAAGGGATTAAAGTTACTTGTGGGATGAAATCCTACCAATAGTCCAAAAACACCTATTAAAGATCAAAATTCACAAGATAATATTTACTAAGCAACTTATTTGGAATAAGAATAAGCAACTTTTTTGTATTAGTGTGTGGCCTAAAAGGTAAATGTTACCAATTGTTTTCCTTGTAGCAGCCCATTTTTGGTGCTTTAGTTGCTCTAGCATTGTGAACAACGTTAAATTGCGTTGATCTATCTGTTGACATCAGAAGTTTGTGTTTTTTTTTTTTTTTTTTGGTAAGTGTGTTGACATCAGAAGTTCAAAGTTGGAACCCAAGGTCCACTCTAGATCTATGTGAACGGCATTGACGTTGAGGTATTGTTGATGAACAATGGTTTGGAATCAACAATAACAGCTCCACTAATGGTTATTTCTTCCAACTATCCTGAGTGTCCCCGATCATATTAAGACGCTAAACTTGAAATCAACCACCAGCACACATTATAAGTGTCATCATGTATCATCTAAACATTTTTCCAACCCAAGCATGTGAAGATGTTTCTAGAAATAGATAAAGTATTATAAAATAGAACCACCCAGACATAATAAGTGTCGTAATGCATAATCTAACATTTTCCCAATGTTTCCTAGAAATTAGTTAAGGTAAAGTAAAATAAAATATAACCATCAAGACTTATAAATGCCATTGTGTATCATCTACACATTTTTCTAATGCAAGCAATATGTATATTTTCCTCGAATTAGATAAAGCAAAATAAAATAGAAATATGAAAATTATCCTTACAACATTTGATGGGCAACTAATTGAACTCAAGCTCAAAAAAAACACAGAAAGCGCCACAAGAAAAATGAGCAGCTTATTTATGAGTAACAAAATAAATACTCAAACAAAGCATAATACATATATGAAACACATGTGACTGCCTATAAATTAAAGGGGTTTCCTTCAATTGCTCGAAGAGTCAATTTTGTTTCCTAATAAGTTATTAAACAGGGCTATTAGACATCTATGCAATCCACAAACTTGATAAGAACATATGAGAAAGTCACCAAACCTTTTTAAACTTCAAATTTACAATAAAATCTTCATCTTGCTCTTATGGTTCACCATCATCTCTGTCACAGCTTCCCCAAAAGCTTCCTCTTTCTCTTCAAAAGCACCATTTACCATTACATCATCATCACCACCACCACCACCACCACCACCGCTACCACTACCACTTTCTCCTTGGTTCGCAACCAGTCCCATCACCACAAGTGTTGCCCCCTTCATCACACACTTCGACATCGGCAGTTCCAACACCGGCACATACCACTGTCTCGCGCTCACCGGAACTTCAATGCTCTTCAACTGAACCCCTAAAGTCCCCAACGACGAACCCATCCAAGCCCTCAGCTCAGCAACCTGTTCATTCCTCGCAAAGAGCCTCCCCTGTTTCTTGGAATCTGTAATTTCAACATGTTCAAGCATCGCGTGTTGTTCAATTAGAAACAGCAACATTCGATGCCTCACCACTGCATCTTTCAAGCACTGAAATGCCAAATGAACTCTGAATTTCAGCAAATCACTGGTCAACTCCGACTCTTCGTCGTCGTCGTCCTCACTGTGACCACCACCAACGCCATTGAATTCCTCCAGACTTGTAGGGTAAAGAAACAAGAAGCTCTCGAGTTTGGTCCCAAACCTAACCCTCCATTTCAGCAACGAATCTTCACCGCCATGGCCAGAAGACGGAAGCTCGATCTGCAGAGAGCGAATATCTCGGAATTTACTCAGGAAACAAACAGCGGAGCGGAACGAATCGCCGTAGAAGGCGGAGATCGAGGAGGGGACAGGCCTGGGAGCGACGATTTGGCGGATGAATCGGAAGGGTTTGGAGACGATGTCCTTGAGGAGGAACCGGATGAGTTTCTTGGAGAGGTTGTCGGAGGAGTCGGAGGAGTTGCTGGCGTGGTCGTCTTCTTCGGAGGAATTGGGTTTCCGGCGAGGGACAGCGAAGGAGACGGAAAGGACCTGAGGGATTGCGGCGGCGAATCGGGTGGAGACGAGAGAGGTCCGGCAGAGGGTTTTGAGATCGAGGAGTTTGTTGAAGATGACCAAAACGACCTCGTCTGGTAGTCGGTCGAAGTGACTTCCGTCGTCTCCTCCACCTCCTTGTTCTGTGACTTTCTCTGTGTTGTTCATATTTTTACTTCTTTGCTACGCCCAGTTCTCTCTCTATTTTCTCTCCCTATATTGGCTCCCACTCACCGTGTAGACCCCGACTCATCGAATGTGATTGGGCCCCATGACCCTCCTCAACACACCGTCGGTGAATCGGTCAATAAATTTTTTTTTTCATTTATTTATATTATTTTCTCTTTTATGATTTTTATACATTTATTTATATTATTTTCTCTTTTATTAGTTTTATATATTTATTATTTATATTAATGCACATGTTATGTGACGAAACTATGAAAAATTAGATAACTAAGAATTCTATTCCTACTTTAAAATCTACCAAATCTCTCCCCTACTCCCCTTCAACACAATCTTATTTGTTTGTTTTTAATGTTTTTTAATAGAATTGCATTATTTGATAGAATAATACTTGTGTTTGTACTAGGCATTTGATCCGTCTAGAAATTATACACCATGAAGAAGAAAGGAATCTCGGATCCCAAAAAAAGTGAAAGACATAGAGTGTTGAATACCATTTCAAGCAGCCATGCCCAAGTCTATGGCCACAACAAGCGACTCTCATGACCCTGGTCAACTGTAAGTAACTTCAATGAGAGGATCAACTAATTGTTTTATCAATCAACATATGAATTCTGGAACAAAAAGACTAAGGCAAAAAGAACACGAGTACTTAACAGTTGAATAAACGTCAAAATCTGTCACATCCGTGTCCGTCAAAGGATGATGCATTATGTGTGCCAATAGCTCTTCATCACAATTGTACAAGTAACGAGAATCAATCTAATCGCTATAAAATATAACTCATTTATGTTTTTCATATATACTGAAATCTGTATTCTCTAGCACTATGCCTTAAGTGCATTTGATCCATCTAAACATACACTATGAAGAATGGAATTTAGGATCTCAAAAAAGGTGGAAGACGTAGTGTTGAATACCATTTCAAGCTACATCAGCATAATGCAACCATGCCGAAGTCTATGGCCACAATAAGCAACTCTCATGACTCTTGCCATTTCTGTCGCATGTAAATAACATCAATAATTCTTCTGTCAATCAATGTATGGATTCCGGAACAAAAAGACCAAGGCAAAAAAGACACTTGAATACTTTGACAGTCGGATAAACGTCCAAGTCTGTCACAACAAACATGGGTAAAGCTAACAGGTCACATACGTGTTAGTCAGAGAATGATGCATTACGTGCATTAATAGTTGTCACGCATCAACTTCATTACAGCTGTACAAGTGGGGACAATCTAACCGTGAATCTAGTTTCTCCACCACTATAAAATAGAACTCATTTATTATGGAGAAGATGTGTGGCACCAGTAGGCGTTTTTCATATATTGTAGCCTCCTATACATGGCTTTTATAGCTTTCCTTTACAATACTGTGTAATCTTAGAACTACATTTCTTTGCACTTATATACTTTGATAATGTAACCTATGACCCTAGGTTTACTCTACTCCATTTACATGCTTTCTTATTGGAGCTTACACCTTCATTTGGAGCTTGAAATTGTTAGTCAATAGCTCAGCTATTGAGTCCTTTGGCACGTAATTAAGGTCACATCCTTTGTTCCATCCAAGAAACTCACATCAAGTTTAATAGTCCTTTTTTTAGGATGGAAGTGATATGAACCATTGCAATGGTCATCCATTGCTTTCCACAATCGCTCGTTAGACAAGTTAACCACACAGTTGACCACAGTGACAACAATAGAAATATTTGCTTGGCTTTCACGGTCAACAAATTGATGTGATTTATAATATAAAAGAGAAAAAATTAACACTTTAAATTTAGAATGGATATGTATTGTGAGGTTCTCCTAACAGGTGAGAAAGCAAGTAACAACTTATATATATATATATATATATATATATATATATATATATATTTGCATGCATTGAGAATTATTAATTCTCATATTTTTGAAAGATGATAAAATGCCTGGATTATTTCTTGATTTAGGAAACTAAATTTTCTTCAATTTTAAATTCAAGAAGTGGATTAGGTATCCCAAACACAGAAATTTTATGTTGGCTTGAAATCATATTGCTTCATTAAAATATTCTCAGAATAAGAGAACAATGAACATCAGGCTTCTTACATCCAAGTGAGACAGAAGAAAACCACCACACAAATTTCAATTGTTGATGTTTGTTTGTTATAAATGTGATCACAGTATTGGATTAGATTTGCTGCTGCCTAAAACCTCCTCTATATTTTGTCTTGTATTCAGATTATGGGTGTCCAATACTTATTGCTTACTCGTGTGTTTTGAGTAAACCCTGATATAATGTAGTATCAAATTCGTTTGATTATAATAACTGTGAGGAAAAAAAGATAAACTTGCATTTAACACCTATTAGAAAGGATTTGTTACACGTTTATTGTTATGTTTGGTTGCACCGAATTGATGTTTTATATTTTGAATTGGAGAAAATTTAATACAAAATTTGAACTAAATTTCCTCCGATCTCAGATTCAATTCAAATCACCGATTCGGTACTCCCAAACATTTCAAACCCAATTCAAATCACCGATTCGGTACTCCTAAACATAACATATGTTATATCTTGATTTGGAATTCAAAGTAGGTTAAATCAAATATAGTAATTGTAAAAGCTCGAGGTTTTTTCAATGTGACCGTTGATGGTGGGTGTATGCACACATACTGATTTGAAGCATATGCTCTTGGGTTACATTTGGAAACATAAGATCTCAAATCCAAATCCAAATTGCTAATCTTAGGTTGCTTTTGGCAACTTGGATTTAGATTTGACACTTAGACTCCTTTTGTTTGGATATAAAATATTTTTTAGAAAGTATATTTTTAATTTATGATGTTTGGCTGTCGTAAATTATTTACGAAGAAAAAAATATTAAAATTTAACAAAGATAATTTATCCATCAATTTTTGAAAAATTATTTTACATGCCCGATAGACTCCACCTCAATTTCGATGTAAACCTTTATTAAATACCGAAAAAGTAAAAATAAAATAATATTTTACCTGAAAAAAGAAAATATTTTGAAAAAATATATATTTTACGTCTAAACAAACCGAGCCTAAGATCTCTGGTTTCCAAACGTAACGCAAGTGCATAAGTTTCAAATCAGTGTGTAAATACACCCATCATCAACAGTCACAGCTGGATTGAACACCATTTGACATCTTAGGTTGCGTTTGGCAACTTGGACTTGGATGATTTGAAATACCTAGATTCAAAATCTATTGTTTGAATCAAAACTTCAAATTGTTAAATTTGAAGAAAGGATTTGGAAAGCAAAATTGCATCTCACTCAATTAAGTATACCAGAAAAGTATGAAACAGACTTCAAGCAAGCCATACTTGGAAACTAGAAGCAGACTAAAGGGTGACTCAATACAAGCATTAGAATCAACCTTTCCTCATAGTTCACCCACTTGTTTCATTGAGCCTGAAATCCATTCTCATCAGAGTTATAACCACAACCAATGCTAAAACGACTCGGCCTCACACTGTCCTTGGTTATGCAATGGTGAGAGGAGAGGAAGTAACAAACCACAACATAGTTACATAACTGTATTTATTTATCGGGATTCGATATTTCAGAAGAGTATCACATAATTGCACAATACATAGGAAATATGATTGCACAGATGACATAATATTTAATCGAAATAACCATTTACATATTTAGACCTATCTGGACATATAGGTCATTCGTCCAACGCGGCATGTACTTCAATATTAGGTGCAAGCCAACGTTAACTGTAAGTCACCTGAAGTTGGAAAAGGACATCAATTAATGCAATAAATTAAACAGGGCCAGTAATCTTAAAAATGAGAAGTTATTACATGGTCCCGGGTCAATCACAGTTGGACACGTAAGCAATTGTGTTGAAATGTGTAAGCTTTTTTCAGTTTTTTGCTTACGTGTCCGTTGCAGATTGGTTGGAACCAACGGTTACCGACCATGAAAAGAAGAAAACATAATATATAGCTGCAAAATTAACCAGAAGATTGTTCTTGGTGGCAAAGGTAACCATCAGTACAAGTTTAAGAAAATCAGCCTGCTATTAGCACAAAATTACAGAGAAATATATGACAAGGTCACTCATTTGAGCTCGTGTCCTTACCCATTAGATCGAGAGTGCAGCGACGTCACACTCTCCACCTAACAAATGAGGCCACGAGCTCAAGGTGAGCACACACTTATAATAAACTTGCTCAAATTACGGACAAAATCTTCTAAGAAGAGTCTAAAATTATGAAATCAAATTTAACTCGCTGTTTCTGCCCTCAAAGTCACCAATGTGAGGCAACCTCTATAGATTGTCCCACCAGCAAACAAGGACAAGTTTTGGTGTACTCAGTCACAATCAATTCTATGTCTCCATGTCCACTATCTAACACATTTATCTACCTATGGGAACCAAAAATGTTTTGGTCAAATGAGAAACACTACCTGAATACACTTCGGATATCACAACTAAATCTTATAAGAGATTTTTATGGCAAAAAGAACGAAATCTAATTTTCTCAAGGAACAGCAATGCTATTACCAGCATTTTCAAGAAATTTTGGTACACCTGAGGTCAAGAGTTGACACGTAGAAAGGGGGGGGGGGGGGCAATTAAAAGCAGTTGTTTTTTGCTTCTTATGACATTATTATCCATTGGACAAACAGCATGTTGAGTTGTCTGCCTCATTACATCTTTCCTAATTGACTATCATTGAAAGAGAAATCTCCTCGCACTCCAAATTGTCAGAAAATTTTCTAATCCACAAAGAAAGAACTAAGCAGGACAATGAACGTTATTCCTATGCTTGAAGAAAGTATGAAGTGAACAGGCTCACACATGACACACCTGTAGACACATGTGAGTGCATCCATGCATGAGGTTAACACACAGTTGTTTGGCTATGCATGGGTACCTTAGTTCCAAGCAGTTCAGAGTTTCCATATTATAACCTTCCTTAGACCATAGGCCTCTCAGTTTTATTAACACTCATATGCCTTGGTACTTAATTAGACAAAAAGCAATGTTCAGGGAACTTCTTGAGCTCAAAAAATGATTACAATGTCATTTATCATACCACAAGTTGTAAGACCAGGTGATCATGGTGGTCTAATTACTGTACTGAAATCCCCTTTTGGAATCTTAAGCCAAAGGCAAGTGTATGTGTTTGATTACCCAAGCCGCACACATTTTGTACGCAAATTTCACGCTTGCGCTACTAACGTTCTATGCCTTGGAACATATGATCAATCTAGTAGAGACAAACACTAACGCTGTGGCACTCGAACATAAAAGGAGGCTTTCCCCAAGTACAGGACAAATCATAGAATAGGTACTAGAGTTCAAACCCTACCACTCTATACTCTACTTGGACACCAGGGATTGTAGCCTAGTGATTTTTCCTTAACCTCCCAAAGTGAGAGGTGAGGGTTCAAGTCCCTATAGGGGCAGATGGATCAGTGAGTTTCTTGCTAGGAGAAAAAATAAAAAAAATAAAAGCCCTCTCCTGGCACATTGCAGTGGAAAATCCATGCTATCAAGGTCAGACTGCCTCAAGACTCTTCATCGGTTTCCCTCTCAGCAGATTGCCTCATCCTTTACCCCTCCAGAACCTTCCAAATATTTTTTTTACCCCTCCACACCCATAATAGGTTAACAGGGTTGCAAGTTCATTGCTCAATAAGCTTTTCTTCTTTGCAATGGTAAATAACACAAATCGTGTACATGCTGGTTGTCAAAGATGGATAATTTTTTTTTTGATAAGTGTTGTCAAAGAAAAGATGGATATGATCCATATTATGCTTGGGCTCTCCTTTAATCACATCAAGGCTTATTATAAAGAACTATTGGAAGTAATTGGTAGAATCAGTGGGAATTCTGTAGAAAATTAGATTATAAATTCGTATGCTGCAAGGTTGCAAGTTGCAACTCATTGTTAGTTCTCTTTGATTCAACTTTATTAAAGCAACGCATTTATATTCTTCCAAAGGAAGTTGTCAAGGAACTGAGAAAATTTAAAGAACTCTCTCATGTAGAAGCTAGCAAGCAGGCAGCAAATTACCCCATTGAAGAAGAGGCACAGGGACTACAGCAAAATGCCATGAAGAAAATGAAAACAGACAAGCACATATCATCGCTGTGAAGGGAAAAAAAATTGAATAACATGTAAACAGAACCTAGATGAAAGAGACAAAAAAAAAAAAAAAAACCCTTTTGGACCAACCTATTTTTACTAAAGAGAATTAATTAACAGTACACTGGAGATGGGAAACTTGCCTCCCTATGATTTATCAATTTGCATTTATTTAGTCTACCGCATCACTTTGGTGATAAAATTTATGCTTCACGTTTGCTGACAGCAAAACGAACTGACCAGTACCTCACTAAAAAATTCCACGACCCATACCATCAGCTCCACCAAATATTATTCCTTACTCTTCTTAAACAATCATCTAAAATCCCCTTCTAGTGGAAAAATTGTTAAAGCTGTCCAAACAGGCCCACTGGGCAAGAAAGTAAAGTTGGGTAGCCCCAACTTCAAAGGGAAATCATTCATTGAAATGGCAAGGGGAGCATATCTTATAACCCTGATTTGACGTGTGTGTGTGTGTGTGTGTGTGTGTGTGTGTGTATTTGATAAGTACCCGAAAAGGAATTTTCATTAGTGACTAGAAGATAATGGAACCATAAGAGTTGATATAGCTAGAACTGAGATAAAAGTTGCCAATATCCAAAGAAATCAAATTGGCCATGGTGCAAGATGCATGATCCAGATGGGGGTGGGTATCAAACTCAATTCAAGGTGACTCAAGTTATAAATTCACGTATGTTATATTCTTATTTGCTGGGTGTTCCTGTTTTGTTATTTTATGCACTCCAACAGTGAATATAATGTAAATACCAAGCAGTTCTTTTGTAGCAATAGTGACTAGAAGATAATGGAACCATAAGAGTTGATATAATGCAAATACCAAGCACCTCTTTTGTTGAAAAAATAATGCAACTTTTTTTATTCTTATGCTCCATTGATTCTTTCTTCATTAGTGGGACTACCTAGGATAGCTACTTTGAGTGTTATATTGTTGTTTGTCAGTAGTATGACATTTTCTGTAGGCAACAGGTTATGAATTCATTGGATTTTTTATTTTTTATTTATAAATGAACTCGTTGGATTTTGTTTCATAATAAACCTGTTTACCACCACACCCCCACTAGAATAAAGAAAAAATAGGAAAAATCAAAACAAGTACACATGAAATAATCAGACGTTAGAATGTATAATGGAACATTAACCAGGCTTCCAACCACTAATATTGCATTGAGAATATCCTCAATCATGTAATTGTTGTCTGTGCTTGTTTAAAATCTAACATATTACGCATTCATTATAAACTTGTAGAAATTTAGAACAGAGATATATATCTTTAAGTTAAACCTAATTCAATGTTGAGGCTGAAACTCTTTTTCAATTTAAATAATTAGGACTCATTTTCATTTTTCAAGCCCATGTTTGTGAAGTGCTTAAAGTCTCCTCCTCAATATACCTTTAGATTAACTCATATTTCCATTAAAAATAATAATCAAGATTGCGACTCCTATAGCTTTATAGGATGTTGAACTTCATATGGCAACATACTGATGTTGAACTTCATATGGTAATCAAATGCAGTAATCTTTTCTAGCTACAAAAATACTATAATAAATCACAACCAAGAAAGAAAATCACGGAGAGAGAAAGATACTAAAATGATATCCAATGCATTGATAGAAAGAAAGAACACATATATACTGCTCCTATTGAATTAAATTAAGTAAATATAATGAAACTACATGGATTGATTTCAGCACAAATCAAACATCCACAGATAATTCATAAACTAACACAAACTTAACATCATTATACAAATGAAATTCGCATTTCACAAACAAAATTTCATACTTTAAACCAGAGCGAGCCATGCGTGTTCTGCATTATAATAGTTACCTAGCTAAGCACTAGAGGCCGAAGGGACTTCGGAGATGAGCTTGAATTCCTGCAACTCCTTAAAGTTCATCCATAGCTTCACCCACACCTTCGCCTCGTAGACTTTCTTCTGACCACCATCGTTGGCCTCCAATTCAATATAGTATATAGTACCAGCAACCACTTGTTCCTTCACATTCACTACCTTACCAAACTCCAGAACCGCATTCTGCACCAACAAGCACCAAAAATCATAACAATTCACTATTACAATAAAAATACAATCCATTTGCAATTAACAAATATATAAATAAATAAATATATATATCCATTATCTGATGCACAATCCCATGGTTCAAAACAATCCACGTCAGCTGATTGACTTTTCTTCAGATTTCTTGAAAATAAGATATTTTAGGTTATTGAAAGGTGAAGACTGTTTGAACATTATATCATGTTTATACAACAAACAACGAGTAGCAAGCAATTAAACAAAAATTAACCAAAACAGAAAGAAAAGAAATTTTGAGATCTATATGACACCAAGCAACAATCGGATATAAATATGTGATATATGCGTGCGTGCGTATATATATATATATATATATAGAAGAGAAGGAGGAAAAAGAACCTGTTTCTTGTTGTGTTCATCGACGGCGAATCGAGCGAGACTGTCGATCTCTACACTGTTCTCAAATCCCTTGGATTGCTTAATTCCTCCTAGTGTTGCCATTACTGTGTGCTTTGATTTTGCAAATGCAGAGGCAAAGTGGTGGTGGTCCTTTTATAGGATAAAGGGGATGAAGGACATAAGTGGAATTTAGGAAATTAAAGTCTAACACGAAACGTCGTGTGGGTTGTTTTTGACGCGGATGGCGGCTCCGAATAGTATATTTATTAGTCTATCCCTTCGCGTTAGTATTTTTATTAGTCTATCCCTTCGCGTTGTTTTTTACGCGAATGGCTCCGAATAGTATATTTATTACCCTATTGCTTCGCGAGTGGCGTTTGGCACACTGTTTAAGAGTCGATGGAAATCAAACTTTCTGTGTATGGCCAGTTTGATCCTTTCATTGCTTAATGCTTAAGGATCGAGATTCCACTTTTTCTTCATCAGGCGGGTATGAAATTTTGTATATATCACCATTGCAATAGCAAGTTTTACCAAATTTTAGTGATGAATTTTCATGAGAAATGTGACAATGATGAAATATCACAACTTCAAATGATGCAATTTAGAGTACAAACATTGTGATTTTAACAAATGAATGATACAAATAAGATTTTAACACTTACCTATTTCAAATATTATAGAATTACAATTTGGGAGGACTAACCCAAGTCCAATTTTAATTTTTTTCGAACTTTGGTAATATTATTTGAAATTCAATATAGGCTTGGTTTGAAAAAGAGAAACTTAAATTCATTAGGCTCACGAAGCCCAACTTGAACATGCCCCCCATATGCATATTTATAAGTAGTTTATAATATTTGTATTGGTTGCATATTGCATTGTTATTTCACATTAGTTTTTTACTTTGAGCTTACAAAGCAAACGGACACTATGTGTCAAATATGGAGATGTCAAAATATGTTTTCGAATGCGGTTAGAAATGTTAATTTTTTAAATAATTAGTTATTAAGACGAACACAACATAGACATGACCTGAATATGCTAAGAACACAGCTGGATATAATAAGATCAATTTCTGAATATTTTTTAAAAAACCATGGGACTCAATTTAATATTTAAAATCTAATAGGGGTAAAAATGTATAAAAATAAAATTAGGCTTAAAAGTCCCAACAACAGAAGGATAATCACACACACACACACACACACACACACACACATATATATATATATATATATATATATATATATATATTTGAAAAGGTTTTGTTTTCCCTTTCCAACTAAATGACAAAAAGGATTTATGATTTTAGACCTTATTTTAGAAGCAGGTTGTGGTTTTATCATAAAAAAATAAAAGTATTGAGGTTTTTATAATTTTAGCCCTAAAAATAATAGCGGAAAAAGTAAATCTTTCCCTAGAATATGTTCGTATAATTGGTATTATAGAGAGATTGATATATATATATATATATAATAATAATAATAATAAATATATCCTTATCATGTTCATTATTTATTTATTTATTATTTTTTAAGATTTGTCATATTGTCGTGTTCTTATTGTGTTGGATCCCGATTTCGTATTTGTATCTCAGATTTGGAGATAGGTCGTATTGATAATCCGAAAGAACCTAACTTCCGAATATTAAATATCAAATCGAGATGAAAATTCATATTTAACCGAAGTTTTTAAAATTTAAGAATGAACTAGACTTGGATTGAAGGTAAGAACATGATTGAACATTTTATTTATCTGGGTGTACCCGAATTGTATCTCTTGACACATTCATTTCATCAGAGTTGCAACCTAAAACAAATAGAGAGTAAGGTTGAAGATTTTCAAGGTTTAAAAAAAAATCACATCACATTATATTAAAATGATTGTGTGTACGTTGTAAACACATTTTGGATAATTAGAAAAATAAATGAAAATAAGTAATAAGATAATTACTGACTTTGATAGCCCATCTCTTTTTTCTTTTTTTCTTTTTTAAAAAAACAAACAAAATAAGCAAAATCCCTCTTCATCTCATTTATTTATTTTTTTCAATTATTTTATTTAAACAAGGTGAAAAATAAAATAATAACAATAAAAATCAAGTCAAACATGAATTATCAATTTCGTCAAATTTAGTTATTTTTTTATTTAAAAAATATAGATTTTGATTTTTTATTTAAATTTTGATACTAATTTTTGATAAATTTCTCTCCAAATTCGAGATAAAGAGTAGAGAAGTGGTGAGTTGTAACGAGGTGCACCTTAAACCCCTTTATAGAAAGGAAGTGAAGAGTGTGGCTCGAGGGGATTTCCTGCTTTCTTTCCACTGCTACTCTGGCCGACTGATGTGCCTCTGAGCACGTCGATAATGGCTCTCTCATTTACTCAATCCCACCTCTTTTCGAAATCCTCTCTCTTCCTCCTCCACAGAAATGAAGGTTTCAGAAGCTTTGCGCTTTCCGTCCCCTTCTGCACTTCTTCTGCTCTTTTTGCAGACAAATCTCAACCTCGCAAAAACTGGAGACAACCAGTGGTCTCTTCTGCTCTGGAGCTCGGTGGAGTCAAGATTGCTAAAGATGGTAACATACCCACCTCACAAAATCGCATTTTATGATCTTGGTCTGTTGAATTTCTTGCCTTTTCTTGCTATAAATATGGTGCAATCTGAATAAATTCTTGTTCTGGGTTTGCAATTTTATCATTTGGGCAGTCTAATTTTTCTAATTTATGGGTAATATTTTTGGGTCAATTTGTGATATGAGAAAGCAGGGTTTGCATTTTTACCACATGGGTTGGATGACCTTTTGCATTTGCTGAAACTTACATTTTGATGCTGCGGTATTTGAAATGTCGATAATTGGAATTGTTTCTTTTGTGTGTGTTATAATACTTGGTAGTATGTGTTTTAATTGGGGTTTGTAATTCTATAGTATTGGATGGTAGAATTATTAACTTTCATTTCGTCCTCGTCCCAAATATTTGGTGCAACTTGAGTTTATTACCGGGCTCTGAATGTATTTTTTGAAACTTGGAAGGTAACCTCAACCGTATTTATTCTATACTCATAAGTACCAATACGGAATGCATGGTTAATATCATTTGCTATGAACGAATATGTCCATACTTGTTCATCATTGGAAGGACCTATTCGTAGTAATTTATAAGTTTGTGATAAAATGTGATAAAGATCAATATTATAACGATAATAAACTGATTGTTACATTTCTATATCAAAGTGAAATATAGTACTTATTTCTTTTTTCTTTCATTAATGCCTGTTGGAATGTTGTATTCTTTTGTTATACTGTCCTGGGTGTTGGGGAAAATAAGAATTTACATATTGTTTTTTCTTTTTCTTCCCCCCTTTCCAATTTAGCACACTGTTTGATGTATTTGGATGATTGAATTTGCAGATGTAGTAAGGGATGACCCAACAAACAATGTTCCTGATACGATATTTACAAAACTTGGGATGCAACTTCATAGGAGGGATCAGCATCCACTTGGGATTCTAAAGAATGCAATATATGATTATTTCAACACCAATTATCCCAACAAATTTGATAAGTTTGATGATCTCTGCCCAATTGTTTCTGTAAAAGAGGTAACAGCTGTGGCTGCATCAAGGAAATTTCATAAACACCACTTATTTTTTCCCCATTAAAGGTGTTTTCCTGTGATTCTGTGTTACTTTTATATTTTCTATTCAAATTGTTTTTATATTGTTTTCCTGTGCACTTCTTTCCATCAAAGTTCATTTCCTGTTTCTTTTGCATGTTGGGCTAGATGTTGGACATTGAAATACATGTCATTAATTTCGTGGGTCCATAGCTGATAACAATTGTGTCTATGGGCAATAAACTAAGTAGGAGTTCCGTATTTAAGCTTTAGTAGTAAAGGAAGTCATTAGCATGCACTAATTTCTTTTGAATTTTGTTGATTTACTATTTTCCATTAGCTTAGTTCTACCCTTTTTATTAATTCTATGTGCCTCAATGGATGCCAGAAATTAATTTGGAAGAGTAAAGGTGGGTGCTTATGTTGTTCCCTTTTATCTAGTGAGCTTTGAGTTGAACTGGCTTCAGTCACAAACCATACAGCAGCTATACAATATAAGACCTCGTCACTTGAAACACAAGAGACTTGTCCTCCTTGACTCACCCAAATTTTCTCCTGAAATTCTATTAGCCAGCTTTTCTAAACAGCTTACTGAGGGCTTCTCTAAACGTGATTGAGATTAGAGGTAATAGTGCGTCATATTTTAGATCTAACACTACCAAGGAAGATTTTTTAAGAAGCATTAGAAGGATACTAAGATATTTAGAGATCCATCTTATCACTTGTCAATCAAATACATACATATACAGTGAGAGAGAGATCCATCACCATCTCTCTGTGGCTTCCATTATTCTGAGATAATTGGCAACATTTTCAATTGGGACATCCACATTCATCTTACATTCTTAAAAGCAGGCATGGTCAAAATTACTTAAAACGTGGTTCATTCTGGTACACGTTTTCTAAAACAGGGGCATCAATAACTACTACTGAATCCTCTACATAATCTGGGTAGGCTCATTTGGATTCCCTAATTGGAATATGCATGTTTTAGTGCTTTAAAATACATATATGCATTAGAATTTTAAGTTATAGTATAGGAAAAGTTCTTGAATTGGCTGAAAGAAAGGCAATACATGGACTTAATATGAAGAGTAGAGTGTAAAAGTGCATGAAATAGTTGTTGTTGAGTTAATTTATTACATATGAATTTTGCTAAATAGAGTATAAGAAGATCTTTAACATTTTACTTATATCCGTTCTGCAAAAGGGGTACTTATAATGAGCTTTGTGGGTAATTATATAGTGTAAAAGACGTGATGTTACATATAATACACAAAGAGAGTATTACGCTAAGGAAGAGAGGCCATTGTTTATATTTTTCAGCTTTTCGCTTATACCTGCAAGAGGACAGTGGGTGAGCCTCTGGTCCCTGTTTTCTGGATATACATCATATAACATAAACTACTTTGGAATCATCAAATGCTTAGATGATGTGGTGGCAAATGTTGTTAGCATGATACATTATACATATACATGCCATTTTGACACATGTCCTCCTTGTGTATCTTGAGGTACAAGTTTATAACACTACACGGGCATGTAGGACTGCAACACTTTTGATAGAGAGTAGTGGAAGGCCTGAGATTTAGATCTAAAGGGGGGTGAATAGGTCTTGAAAAGCTAATTAAGTAATTTTAACTAAATTAATAGCAATTTAAAAATTAAACCAACTACCAAACTTGTAGACCATCTAATCAATCATGCAATCAATCACATAAACACACTAAGATTTGTACGTGAAAACCCCAAAGTAAAAAACTGTGGGACCTAGTCCAGGCAAATCAAATCTGCTAATGAAAAAGAAGTATTAGTATAGGTTAACCAAAATTTTCAAACCCTAGTTACCTCTCGACACAGGCTGATGTCAAAATTCCATTCAAGTCTCCAGACTGTTTGCTCGCTCTGTTAAGAAATTTGCTCCTCACAAGATTTGCTTCTCCACAATTTCATTGATCTCCATGGCTAGTTGTCCAATCTAAGTATTCTGTTTGAATACTCCTTGTTTGGTGTTAAATACATTGTGGGCTCAACAGTATTAGATGATCAACACCCATAGCATACTCACCAAGCTATATGCAGTGATGAATATGAAAGAAACAAAATTCTGGCAGTTTATTGCTAGAATGCACACTTAACTCACTCTGTACGCTCTAATTATGCTCAGATAGTAGCATATAGCAGCATTCTAAACAACAGCTCTCTTTTTTTCCCGGACATTAACAAGAGGTGTCTTTACTCTTTATATAGAGCTTAGAGTCATAACAAAATTAGGGTTATTGATTGAGACCGGGCCAGTGGCCTGATCCTTCGATCAGTCGAAGTGCCCAGTCCTTCTCCAACTTGGAATCTATCTTAAAGAAGTTTCCAAAGACATCATTATGCATATCAATAGGCAGTTTTCTTAATCAAACATGGAAAACATTAAACCCTACATGAACCCTAATTGGTGAGTGCATGTAAAGTGTAGAATTAACCTTTTTGGAATGTTGCTTTGAATTTCATTAATATCGTTGGAGAAGAGGTAACCAACTAACTCTATCTAGAATTCAAAAATCTAACTAAAAAATAAAAACAAAATTATAGACTCAAGTCATAACCATGTATGGATCTGTCACTTGATATTAAGTACTCTAGTTGTTAGACTCCTACTTGTAGTTAGTTTTTCATCACTTGGAACACACAAAAAAAAAAAAAACAATCCAAGAGGTTGTGTGCAAAATCAATATATCAGTCATTGAGATTCTCCACACTGCAGATGCTCATCATATAAGCATGTCAATTGCCTTGATCTTGCACCATATGTTTATCCAAAGGCAAATTAATCCTCTATCTTGTACGAATATACTCGCTTACTTCCAAAATGATTCAAAATTATCAAATACTCAACCTGACCGAACTTTTAACATACTAATGACCTACTCAGTACCAACCAGCATTGTTCTGCCTTTCTCAGTTTTCACTGTCCTTCTGTTGTGGTTCATGTCTTGTTGATAAATTTTGTGATATCTTGTGTCGTTGTGGTTGCACAATTTTATGGTAATTTTGGGTTTTTGTAAAGCATGTTGTGTGCATTTTTTGATGGTAGATCTACTTCTTACAGAACTTTGATGATGTCCTGGTACCTCCTGATCATGTGAGTAGGAGTTACAATGACACATATTATGTGGACTCCCAAACTGTGTTGAGGTGCCACACAAGTGCACATCAGGCTGAGCTATTGAGGAATGGGTATACTCATTTCCTTGTGACTGGAGATGTTTATCGTAGGGATTCTATTGACTCAACTCATTATCCTGTATTCCATCAGGTTCTCTTATCTCTTACTATAGCACCATATTTTTTCTGCTATCTTGTTTCTTCGTGTTTTAATCTTCTTTCGCCTAACAGTTACACATCCCATCCATGCAGATGGAAGGGGTTCGAGTTTTTACTCCGGATGATTGGGAGACATCTGGCACTGATCCCACATCTCATGCAGCTGGGGATTTAAAGAAATGTCTTGAGGGTTTGGCACGCCACTTATTTGGTAAAGTTGGAGTTGAAGTTTGACTTGAGCTCTGGAACTGTGACACATATGAGATTTATTATTCATCATATTTAGTAATTCAGAACCAATTAAAAAATCTATATGGTAAAGAAGGATGGCTCTATCTTTTATTTGGCAAAGATGCTCCTGGGATTTTCTATACTGATGGAAGAATAATAGGCCACTTCTCCGAAAAAGATCTGACAAAATGGCATTGGGTTTGGATATGGATACCTTGGGTTACTACACTCTCTGCCATGCTGCCAGTTACTCCCACATTGCCAACTCTGCTCTCTTTAATAATCAACCATTTTATATTTGGCCAATAACTTGAAATCTCAAATTGATATAGGTAATATGAGCAACTCAACCATTTTATATTTGGCCAATAACTTGAAATCTCAAATTGATATAGGTAATATGAACAACCGAATTTCTTCTTTAATAATCAACCATTTTATGTTTGGCCAATAACTTGAAATCTCAAATTGATATAGGTAATATGAGCAACTGAATTGCCCATTGGATTGGAAGAGAATGGACCCATCAACAAGATGCCAAAAACCATTGAAAATGCAAATCTGATGTAAAGAACCAGAATAAACTGAAATTGTCCCTAGAATTTTTTTTGCCAAGTAAGGTCCCAGGCCTCAAACCCTGTTCAAAGGGTTGAAGTACAAATAGACTCAACCCAAACAGTCTTGCAAGGATTGGTAAATTGCCCATATAATTGGAAGAGAATGGATCCATCAACTAGATGCCAAAACCGATGGAACATCCAAACCTGATGTAGAGAACCAGAATAACCAATAAGGTAATTCTCCGAGATATTACACGCATACAAAGAGTTTATCTATTTGTTTGTGACACTTTATGCATCTGCATTAAGCTATAGCTCAGATTACGGAGTTTTCATGAAATACCTGTCAATCCTCTACAATATAGGAGCCTACAGTTTCCATATTTATATGCTTTGTAGGCACTGTATAAGGAAATTTGATGATGTACTAGTTAAAAGAAAGGGTAGTTCTGTCCACAAAATACAACAGAGTGACCAAATTGTACCAAGCATCAATTTTAATGGATATCGGCTCAGTTTGAGAAGTGCGAGTCTTACTGTTGCCAAACCATGTGTATATCAAGGCATGCAGATTACCAACTAGTATTGTAAATAAGTTGGAAATGATAAAAGAGCTAATGAGTGGATAAAAGTATATCATGTTATGAATGGAGCAGTAGATGATGTCACTCATTGTAGCTTAAACAACGATGTTTCGGGATATGGAATTGTTCATGATATGGTAAAGAAAGAACTGTTTGTGAACAAAAAAAAAGGAGGCCATTACTAGGTCCTACCTACGTGGGATGCTGGGAGGTGAAGACTGGAGTAGACATTATTTAGCACAAAGTGGCTACTCTAAGACTTAAATTTGGGTCCTCACATTTTTGAGTCCAAACTTTTATCATTGCACCAAGCAATGACCCTAAAAAGAAGGCCATTCATAATTTATGAACTGAATTATATGCAGTAATTTTAGGTCAAGTCTGACTAAGAAATTTGAGTAATAGTCTGGAATTTGGATTTTATTATTATTATTTTTTGTCATCTGAATAACTAATTGTCTTGATTTCTACATTAATTTAGATTTTTATTGGCTGTTCTAATCTTGGCATTTATATTGGCGTGTGTAGTTCATATTGTTTACTAAATCCCCTTAAGCTTAAAATCTGCTGAAATTTTCAGGTACTGTAGAAATGCGCTGGATTGACACTTATTTTCCATTTACTGATCCATCATTTGAACTCGAGATATATTTTCAGGTATCAATTTTCCTTTTTTGCATAAATTTGTTTATGCTTAACTGCAATTGTTTGAGAAGTTTGATATCTGACTGAATAGATTTCACTCCTGTTTAACCTTGGATGTTCCGTTAGTTATATGATAAAACATTTCTGATCTTTTAGCACCGAAGTAGAGGAGAAATGGTGTAGATAGCATATTGACATGAATTGTAACAAGTTTTTCAATATGTTATGATTCTGGAAGTTTCTTGATAAGGGATTGCATTATAGATAACCACCACATGCGTCAACCAGTGTGCAGACAAGGTATATTGCAGCAAGCAGATCGCCAAAAACCGGCCCCTTAGCCCGAAAAAGTTTCAAAAATGAAAAACCCTAGAAGATGACTTCAAATTTTTATTTTTTTAAAAAAAAAATTCCAGCGTCTTTAGGACACCTCTTGGCCTTTTCCGACTCTTTTGAATGCAAAGGTGTCCTTCCGATGTTGAAACCTGGCTCTAATACCAAGTCAAAATACTATTTTGATTATATTTTAGGCTGTGACTAGGATTTGAAGATAAAGAAAGAAGAATAGGAGAAAGAGAGAGTAAGAAAGTGTTGTAGGATGATACTGACATCTCTACACCCAAGTATTTATATTAGGGTAAAATAAAATTAACAATAATACCTCACGTGGTAAAATCGCACTAATTACGCTCACTACACAAATATCCCAACATCTTCCAACAGAAACAATTATGAAAGATTGAGAAACACCTCCTTTATTTCTCAGGCCAGTTATATGACTAAAAGTTCACCTTTTGACCTTCTCCCCCAAGGATGGAGCCGGTTTACTTAGAAAATTTCCCCATCCTTTCCTAATGCCCTTCTATAACCATACTCTATATGAGATGATGAGATCCTTACATCCCTCAATGTTTATCCACATTCCCTCTCCCCTAAATTTGCCTTTGACCACCCTCTTCAGTAAGAGTGCCTTTTTGTACTTGAAAATTGCTTTCCCAACAATTATGAAGAACCAAGAGGAAGGGCCAAATTTGAGGTCGGGAAAGATCCTACCCACAGGACAGAATCACCGCCAAACCATACACACCAAGATAACTCAATTTCTCCACATTTACTTTTGACCCTGGAGTCCACCCCAAAACACACACAAATGCACCACAAATACTGCATCTAGTCATCTTCAACTGCACACAAAAGTGATTATACCATCAATAAAGAGGGTTTGGAAGATAAAAATTGTGCATCCCACTTCACTAAAAAAAACTTGAAGCATACTGACATCTATAGCTTTAACTATTATCCTACTGTGGGCATCTATCACCATCATGAACAACAGATGGTAGAGGATTCCCTTATCTCAACCTTCTCGGGCTGCCAAAGAAACCTACCAAAGTGCCATTTGCAAGAATCGAGAGCCTGAAAGATGAAATGCATAAACAATTTTCCTCCATTCACATCAAAGCCCATATGCTCAATTACATATGACAAGAATTCCTAATTGACATGATCACAAGCCTACTCGGGTCAAGCTTGCAAACAACCCTAAGAACCCATTTCTGGAAGGTGCAGATTTATCAAGCAAAAACATTTTGTTTTTCCCTAAAAAGGTATTAGCTACAAGTTGATCCGCACTCCTTGCCACTCTTTCTTGAGAGGGAAGTATACAGGCTGCGGTTAAAATTCCTCAAAGTGGCCACAATATTGCCTTTGAACACACTACTGCTGAAAAACGTGAAAGACATGCCATCTGGGCCAGGACCCTTGTCCCTAACGGCCTAACGTAATACAGGACAATATAGCTCTGATATCAACTGATGTAGAACACAAAAGGGCACCGAAAGAATTTGTTGTAGAAGAAGAAATAAAGAAGGGGATGAGAGGACATGGGATGAGGGCAGACAAAAGGATGAGATGATAGATGAATGGGGTGAGCAAACAGACGAATAGGATGAGAAAGCAAGAATAAGGAAGGGGAAAGAAACAGGAAGAGATCTCTGAAAACCACAATAAGCTCATTATCAAAGTCTAAATTATTTATTAGAAGAGCCTTCCAAAACAGCACCAAAATAGGAATAAAAGAAAAATACCTAATAATCCCATAGAACTAATACTAATTCTTTTTTTGATAAATAGAACTAATACTAATTCTAAGTGAAAGAAACTCTGAATTATTAAACATAAAAACCTAAATATGATAAAAAGAAATTTCTCTCAATGCAAATCTGTCTTTCTTTTCCTTGATGCTTGAAGTAAATGAGAAGCACGTGCAGCACATGGACTTCTTGTTCTCCATTCCTTACACATACAATTAACTCCTGCTTTTTCAGGAGAAATGGTTGGAAGTTTTGGGTTGCGGGGTGACAGAGCAGGAAATATTAAAAAGAAGTGGCAAAACAAACAATGTTGCTTGGGCGTTTGGACTTGGATTAGAGCGGTTAGCAATGGTCCTCTTTGATATACCAGATATAAGGCTTTTCTGGTCAACCGATGAGCGATTTAGTTCTCAAGTAAGTCCTGAATTTATTAAAAAGTGTCGGTTTTCTCCTCATTTCTCGTGTTCCTTTTGTTGTAGATAATTTATTTCTAAAAATTGAAATCCTCATAACAGTATTTCAGCCAAGGAAATCCTTGAGAAGATCTAGCTGTCTAGCATCTTGACTCTTGAGTAATTTGATTTAAGCTGTTAGTTCTGGTTTTCATGCAGTTTTCGAAAGGTCAGCTTGGGGTAAAGTTCAAGCCATATTCAAAGGTATGAATAACATCTTTCACAAGTGGGTAATGCTTTTATGGTAGTATAAATTTCTTTAAGCGAAGGTGATATCATTTTCCGAGGCTCGAAATTGTTGAAACTATTAATTACATCTTGCAAAAGTTTCTTTAATGCTTAGGACCCGACACATTAAAGATATGCATTTTAGTGCTTTGTCTATTAAAAAAGTTAATTTGTAAGTTATAACTTGGTTTATAGATTGTTTAGCACTTATGCCTCTTTCATTGGGGGTAGACTTGAAGGTTTAATTATTTACATTTAAAATTTTACAGTATCCTCCTTGTTATAAAGACATGAGTTTCTGGATCAATGATTCATTCACCGAGAACAATCTTTGTGAAATTGTTAGAGCAGTTGCCGGTGATGTTGCAGAGGAGGTACGTCCTTAGATATCTTTGCAGACAGGTTTCATTATGGAATTATATCAGTGATGAATGGGTAGAAATATATCATCTATTTCTGTCTTTTGTTATGAGTACTTTGAATTAATCAACGAATAGTTTAATGCAGAATTATTGTTCCATTGAAATGAAATCACTTTATTAATGACAAAATTATTGAAATTGGTAATCGAATCAATTGATTAAAGAATTGGGAATACACTCTTATATGTACATCAGAATAATGCTATTCTAGGAAGCTAATAAAAACTGATCCCTAGAAATCAGGGATTGCAATAACTAATAAATCTCTAGCTATTAACAGCAGCCTGTAAATCTCTAGCTATTGACAGCAGCCTGTAAATCTCTAGCTATTAACAGCAGCCTGTAAATCTCTAGCTATTAACAGCCTGTACACAACTAATAAATCCCTAGCTATTAATAGCCTGTACACGATTTCCTTATACAAGGAAAGAATCGTATTTTCCCACACTCCCCCTCAAGCTGGTGAATGGATGTCATCCATTCCAAGCTTGCTGGTTATTCTCTGAAAAACGGTACCAGGCAATCCTTTGGTAAGCACGTCTGCTAGCTGTTCTCTAGTAGGAACAAAAGGAGTACAAATGAGGCCACTATCCAACTTCTCTTTAATAAAATGCCTGGCCACTTTAATGTGTTTTGTGCGGTTATGTTGCACAGGATTGTGTGCAATATTAATGGCTGATTTATTATCACAGTAAAGCTTCATTGGACCTTTCCATCTGACTCTCAAATCTTCCAAGATTATCCTCAGCCATAGCAATTCACATATCCCAAGTGCCATCGCTCTAAATTCAGCTTCTGCGTTGGACCTTGCAACCACATTCTGTTTTTTGCTTCTCCAAGTAACGAGGTTACCACCTAGGAAGGTGCAATAGCCCGAGGTTGATCTTCTGTCAATCATGGATCCTGCATAATCCGCATCTGTGTAGGCTTCAAGAGTTAGTCCTTCCCCTTTCTTAAACAGAATTCCTCTTCTTGGCGTACTCTTCAAGTACTGCAGAATTCTATACACAACTTTAAGATGTGATTCTTTGGGATTGTGCATGAATTGACTCACAACACTCACAGCATAAGCTATATCCGGCCTGGTATGTGACAAATAAATTAACTTCCCCACAAGTCTCTGAAAAGAGCCTTTACCCACGACCATGTCTTCTGGAGCATCACAAAGTTTGTGGTTTGACTCCATAGGTGTCTCAACTGGCTTACATCCCAGCTTGCCTGTATCAGCCAATAAGTCTAACACATATTTTTGCTGTGATATAAAAATCCCTTGCCGAGAGTGGGCTACTTCAATACCAAGAAAGTACTTCAATTTTCCTAGCTCTTTGATCTCGAATTCCTTCACTAACTGTTTCTTCAAGCTCTCCATTCCTTCCAAGTCATCTCCTGTTACTATGATGTCATCCACATAGACTAATAATACTATCACTCCCCCTGATGCTAAATGTTTTACAAACAATGTATGATCACCTTGACTTTGCTTATATCCCATACTCACCATCACTTTAGTAAATCTCCCAAACCAAGCTCTTGGGGATTGTTTCAATCCATACAAAGCTTTTTTAAGCTTGCATACCATTCCTTCCTTTTCATTTGAGCCAAACCCAGGTGGAATCTCTATATAAATCTCCTCCTCAAGATCGCCATGTAAGAAGGCGTTCTTGACATCAAATTGCTGTAATCTCCAGCCAAAATTTGCAGCCACTAATAACAGAATTCTCACAGTATTCATCTTAGCAACTAGAGCAAAAGTCTTAAGATAATCTATGCCGTAGGTTTGTGTATACCCTTTGGCAACTAATCTTGCCTTATACCTTTCCAAAGAGCCATCTGAGTTGTATTTTGTTGTGAACACCCATTTACACCCAACCGGCTTCTTCCCTCTAGGCAGTCTTACCAAGTCCCAAGTCTTGTTTTTCTCAAGTGCTTCCATCTCAACCTTCATAGCATTTTCCCAATTCTCATTTCCTAATGCATCGGATAAAGTTTTGGGAATAGGGACTATATTTAAGCTAGTAAGAAAGGCCCTATGGTTATGAGAAAGATTCTTATATGACATGAATAGATAAAGAGGGTGTTTGGTACAAGTTCGAGTTTCTTTTCTAATTGCAATAGGGACATCATAATCATTTTGTTCAGAGGTTTCATTAGAGTGTTATCATTGGGTTGAGTAATTACCTCGACATTATCAGGAACAGATTTGGGTGATTGAACTTGCACAGGTTGAGAGATTGGTGCTCTTTTCCTTGAGTAAATCTGCAATGGACGAGTAGAGTCTCGAGTTTGATTCCCATGTAACACTCCTTGTGATTTGGGTGTATGAGGCTCGGCTTCTGACCGTGTGTTTAGCTTGAACTGAATGTTTGGGAGTATGTTTGACTCGGATTGATGAGAGATAGGTGCTGGAAACTCAAGGAGAAAAAAATTCTTATCCTTATCTTTTATGAAGGATGTCTCCCCCTGAAGATAAGGACCGGTTTTGAGAATGCACATGAACAAAGGCAACACAACCAAATATCTTTGGAACAAGATTATTAGATGCGTTAAACTTGGGAAAGAATTGTGTAAGGACCTGCATTGGACTTTTAAAACCAAGGACTCTTGTAGGAAGCCGATTTATGAGATGAGCAGCGGTTAAAACAGCCTCCCCCCAGTATTGTTTTGGAACATTTTTTTGGAACAAGAAAGCTCTTGTAATATCGAGAAGGTGGCCGTTCTTTCATTCGGCCACCCCATTTTGTTGAGGTGTGCTAACACAAGAGGATTCATGTATTATGCCCTGTTTTTGGAAATACGGAGAGAGAATTTGATTAAAGTAGTCCTTAGCATTATCAGATCGGAATCTCTTTATCCCCACACCAAATTGAGTTTTGACCATATTGAAAAAAATTGGAAACACATAACTCACATCCGATTTATTTTTTAACAGAAAAATTCAAGACACACGAGTGCAATCATCAATAAATGAGACAAACCACCTTGCCCCAGAAACATTAGTAATAGTGGAAGGTCCCCAAATGTCACTGTGAATCAAGGTAAATGGAACAGAAGTTCTTTTATTGCTAATTTGAAAAGAATTACGTTTGTGCTTTGCAAGTTCACATACGTCGCAATGAAAATTTTCAATGGATAAACTTTTGAACAATGAAGGAAACATTATTTTGAGAACACTAAATGATGGGTGACCAAGACGAAGGTGTTGAAGCCATATCTTATCTTTATTGGATTTGAATGACTCGGAAAGAAATGATAATGGTGACAAACTCTCAACTTTATTTTGTCCATTTGATTCTTCAAGGTAGTATAGACCATCCCTCTCCCTAGCATGTCCAATCATCCTCTTCGTGCCCTGTTCCTGAAATATACAACGGAGAGGATAAAACGTCACACTGCAATTAGAATCTGTAGTGAGTTTACGTCACACTGCAATTAGAATCTGTAGTGAGTTTCTGGATTGACACAAGATTGGTGCATAGTTTTGGGACATGAAGGACATTCTTAAGTGTAAGGTGGTCATTCAAAAAAAAATATCTCCTTAACTAGCCACGGTTGTCACTGAACCATCAGCTGTTATTATTTTCCTATTGCTAGGACAAGCGGTATATGAAATAATTTTTTTTGAGGAATGGGTCATGTGATCTGTAGCTCCTAAGTCAATGACCCAGGAGCTTGAGGAGACTAAATCCGAAGCACTAAAAACATGAGAAGAGGGGGAAGGAGAGGAAATACCTGAGAACACCAAAGAACAAGTACCTGCTGTAGACGGTTTCTCCAACGTTCCCAATAGGCTCCTTAATTTCTCTCTCTCTTCTTTGTTGAATTCAGCAAATGGGATTGAAAGATTGTCTTCACTGTTTGATTGTGTGGTTGCCACATGTGCCTGTCCCTGTCCTCTTGGCTGTCCACTCTTTTCTGACCAGGCTTTGTTCACAATTTGAGGCTTGCCATGGAGCTTCCAGCACTTCTCCTTAGTATGGCGGGATTTTTTGCAGTATGTACACCACAGAGAATCCTTGTTGAATGGTCTTGACATATCAGTTTGCCCATTGCCTTCTCCAAAACGCTGTTCGGAGCCATAATTCTTCATAGCCGTGTTTTTTGACACCAAGGCCGAACTCTTTACTGTGTGAGTTTCAATTATAACACCCCTTCTTCCTTCCTCAGCAAGAACAATTGCAATTGCCTCATTTAAGGTTGGCAAATCTTCTTTTCCAAGTATTTGCAATCTTACAGCATCAAATTCGATGTTTAAACCTGCAAGAAAATCATAAATTCTGTCCTTTTCAACAAACCTCTTAAGGATAGCTGCATCTTCACTGCACTTCATCTGAATGCACTGATAATGATCCATCTCCTACAATAGACCCTTCAAGAGGTTGGAATATTCGGTGACTGACCGATTACCCTAGTTGGTAGCGGAGATTTTGGTCTTGATCTCATAGATCTGTGCAGCATCACGTACTTTGGAATAGGTCTGCTTGACTGCTTCCCATATCTCCTTGGCTGTGCTAAAAAACATACAAGTGTCGTTGATTTCTGGTAACATAGAGTTCCATAACCAGGACATAACCATAGAGTCTTGTTCATCCCAAGCATCAAACTTAGGATCCTCCTTCTTTGGACCATTACCAAGCAAGTGGCTCAGTTTCCCTCTTCCCTTCAAGAACGTGCGGACCATTTGAGACCACTTCAGATAATGTTTCCCGTTCAACCTATACGCCGCCTGGATATTCTGCAATTCTCCTGTTGGGACAGAGCCGTTGCTTCCAGTTACAGGGATCTCTGAAGTGTCGCTGGTTTCGGTGGATGCTGACATGGTTTAGAGAGAGGTGAAATCCACAGATTTGATAACACTGGATTTTCACATAGAACAAGAACATGAAGAAAAGGACTAGCAAAGAAGGCCAAGGGAATACGAAATTGGTAATCGAATCAATTGATTAAAGAATTGGGAATACACTCTTATATGTACATCAGAATAATGCTATTCTAGGAAGCTAATAAAAACTGATCCCTAGAAATCAGGGATTGCAATAACTAATAAATCTCTAGCTATTAACAACAGCCTGTAAATCTCTAGCTATTGACAGCAGCCTGTAAATCTCTAGCTATTAACAGCCTGTGCACATCTAATAAATCCCTAGCTATTAACAGCCTGTACACAACTAATAAATCCCTAGCTATTAACAGCCTGTACGCGATTTCCTTATACAAGGAAAGAATCGTATTTTCCCACAATTACAATCCACAAAGTGCTTGAAATGAGCGAATTTCCTTTTTTTCCCCCTTCCAAGTGTCACTTTTAGTGTATTGTGAAGTAATTGCTTAGTTCTACTATCATTTGGGGCAATAGAATCGTATTCAAAGTTACTTTCTTCTTGATATCTGAGGACATTGATTTAGAGTGAAGAAAAATAAAAGAACAAACCCGATGGCGGGGTCTGGGAAGGGTTAGATGTACCAGCCTTACCACAGCATGTTGAGAGGCTGCTTCTTTGTTTTGGACCCATGACCTCCAATTCATAATGGACAACCTTACCGTTGGATGAAGGCTCAGCCTTAGAGTTAAGAAAAAAAAATTTATATTTTTTTAAAATTTGGAGGATTCCTATAATATGATGCCTATAGATATAATATGATGGATTTCAGAAAGTGAAAATGCAAACAAATATATTTGCATGATAAAGGATATATTTGATGAAAGTATTTGTCTTAGTAAAAACAAGTATAGGAGAAGCAAGTAAAATGCCAGCAGGAATCAACATTAATTTCCTATAGTTCATGCCTTATTTTTGGATGAACTGAGTAGTTTTTTGTTTTAATTGATGATACTAAAAAAGTTTTAAATGCTAAATTAGAATTCCAGATTCAAGTCATAATGAAGAGATAAGTTGTTTTAAAACTGAATTTATGAAATTTTACTTTAGCAAAGCTAGAAGTATAAGTGGTAATGTAGTGAAAATTGAGGGTCGAGAGATACCATAGAACGAATATTTTTGTTACCTAAGCTTTGATTATTCGAGATTTGAAGTAATGTTACTTATAAAGTTGAGTGCTTCTTGCATATTGCATGAATTGAAATGTAAATCTTCTTAACAATTAGTAGATTAGACATATTTTATGGGACAAAATATTGAACAGCTAGAAAATATATTTTATAAAATGAGTGCACCAAACTAAAAATGTTAAGATGGACATGTGGTAAGTTGAAGGATAAAATTATGAATGAGTACATTTGTGACATGGTTGGCCGGAAATAAAATGATTTTTTTTGAGTAAAATGAATATCAGAGAGGGAGAGATTGAAGGCGATGATGTCTTATATAATTGTTGGAGTGCTTCTGATGTCTTTGTTGAACTGAAAGGTAAATGTTATAGGACAAGTTCTTTAGGCTAGCCATAATTTATGGGATAAATTACTTGATGGCTAAAAAACATATTTGTAAAATGAGCACCCCAAAATTTGAATGTAAGATGGATAAAAATGTGGTAGGTCAATGACAGTAAAAAATGAGACCATTTGCGACACTGTTGAAGGAGAAAATTATCAGTGTGTACATTTGTGACACGATTGAAGTAACATTGGCCAGAAATAAAATGAAAGAAAATTAACTAAACTGGATACCAGAGAGGGAGATGGAAGTTGATGTTACTTGTATATTTGGAGTGCTTTTGGTGTATTGTTTGAATGAAAAAGTAAGCTTTTATAAAATTGGTCCTACTTTATGGGACAGAATATTGAATGGTTAAAAAGTAATAATATATTATATAAAATGAGTGTGTCACAGTAAGAATGTAAAGATGGATGGAGATTTGGCAATATAAGGATACAATTAGAAACGAACACATTTGAGGCATGGTCGAAGTAGCATTTAAAATAAAAAGAGAAAAAAAAAAAAATCGATTAAAATGGTTTGATTGCATGGAGAAAACTATTAATAGCAATAACAAGGAAGGATGGCATTAATCACCTTGAAGATGATGTTGTGGCAAGGGAAAGACCAAAATAAGAATTGAGAAATGGTTGAAGTAGCACCCACTTAAAATAAAATGAGAAAACAAATCGATTAAAATGGTTTGATCGCATGGAGAAAACTATTAATAGCAATAATAAGGAGTGGCGGCATTGCATTAATCACCTTGAAGATGATGAAATGGTAAGGGAAAGACCAAAATAAGAATTATGTTGAGTGGCCTTAAGTTGAGTAGAATGGCAAAACAAGATTCATCTAGTTGACTCCAAATAATCGGAACAAGATTTTATCTGTTGGTGTATTCATTAAAAAATTTATAAAGGTTGAAGGAGAAAAAATTTCGGTCTTCACAAGTTATGTAGTTTTTGGTTAAAGATGTTTATAAAGCAAGTATACAACCAGGTTGAAAGTGGTCAAATTACAATCTACAATATATTTGCTGAAATGGCCCGACGTCTAGTCTTTGAAAATTTTATATGCTCATAATATCTTTGTATTCACTAATTGTGTTAGGAACTTGAGGTTTCGCTTTCGAACCGTACTCCTGACTTGAATGATGCGTATGTTGTGGGGCCGATACATGTGTTCTAAGAAAAAAAAAAAAAAAAAAAAAAAAAAAAAAACGTGTTAGGAACTTAGCTGAAAGTATGGTCTATGATGGAATGAACTTATGTTTTGAGGTAATCTAAGATGTTAAATCCATCTTTTCATGTCAGGTGATATTGATTGACAATTTCACCAACAAGAAAGGAATGACCAGCCACTGTTACAGGATTGCATATCGGTCCATGGAGCGTTCACTTACGGATGAGGAAATAAATCAGTTACAGGTATTTTTTAGAAGGAATCTTATGCAACTGACTGTTTTTCGTTCTAAAAATAATAACCCTTAATTTGTTTATGATTGTGGGTGCAGTGGAATGTGAGAGAACAGGTGCAGAACAAGTTGAAAGTTGTTCTGAGATAAAACTTTTTGATTCCAGAAATCTGATAGTGCAAGTTTCTTCATGTAATTTTATCCCCATTTTTATAGAATTCTTTACTTGTAATGTTTTTAGATTATCAAAAGGCATCAAATTATTGGCCGCAGATAATCCATTTAGGCTTGGAGGTCAGCTCGTACAACAAAATATTGTATTTCCTTTCTTCTTTTTTTGATAGGAAAAATTTTCTGCAGTCTGGGCAAATCACACACGAGTAGACTATTGAACTTTTATTACTTTGACATCATCTGAGATTTGGTACATATACTTAACACCACCCTAGCATTTTCTTTTCCATAGACTTGATCAAATTTTATAAAATGACAATTTTGCCATTATCTTGTAAAGAATGTAATATAATATATTAGGGTTGGTAGATGCATAATTTAAAAACTCGCAGATAGGTGAAGGTTGTTAAATTAATGCACTATCTCATAAGATTGAGATAGGCTCTATATATTACGATAAAGATCTATAGATTATGATAAGAATTAAGTGTACAGATTACTATCTCATAAGATTGAGATAGGTTCTACAGATTACGATAAGAATTAGGCTTTACAGATTATGATAAGGATTAAGTCGATAAATGATTAAGCTTACAAATTACGATAAGGATTAAGTCGACGGTAATTCTAGGTTACATTCTGATCGACGTTTTGAGGTATGCAATAAATCTTAACTCAATATTTTGATTCCAGATAGATTACTTGTTCCGCAGAATCTATCGTCAATAAGGGTTAAGTGCAAAAAAATCTCCTTGTACAAAAAAATATGCAAGAAACACACATTAGAATATTCATCATCTTTTGAGCGTAGTCTTAACCCATTTTGTATGTTGTGACAATTTTGCCCTTCTCTTGTAAAGAAGGGTATTAATGGACTAGTCACATTGAAAGTCAGTTTATGAGATGTCAATGGGATAAACATGGAATGGTTTATTGGTTTATCGTGTTCATGAAGTCAGTGTAATTTATATTTTTCAATCTAACTTATCTAGGGGTGGTTTGATAAATTAATGATGTGATCAGTTTTGTTCTCGTCATGGTTTGTGAATTTTGTGCGGGGAGAATGAGTATCGAAGGAATCAATTTTTTCCATCTTTATATTTCATGGGAAAATGATGGAAGGAGAAAAATACAACTCAATTAATTTTAAACAAATCTTGAAGAGTAATGATATAAAGTCCTTATCTAAGTCACATAAATCAAGAGTAGATTTGAGTTAGAACGTGTTCGGAACGATACCCATTAAATATGTCCTATTAAATTTGTGCGACGTCATATTTTTGTCATCTTTCATTTATATAAATAGGTTGGATAGATTCAAAAATCAAAGTATTTATCATTATTGACAAAAAATTTATACCGAGTAAATATTTGTGTGTAATTTTAGTAGAGTCTTAATAAGAATTAAGTGAAAATAGGTATTGACTTTTGACAATAGAATCTTCCTAATAAGAAATTAAGTGGGATGAATATGAAGGTATTGACTTTTGATAATGTTTAGTGCTGACTCAGCAATTGGATCATTGCCGATAGGTTCAAGTCTCACATTACTTAAAAACCTAACGAATTTAATTTTTAAGTTAATTATAAGGAAAGTTTTATAGGCATGCTATAATGTAGAGATGTAAAAGATACTAGGTGAATATGAACTGCCATCGTTATTATTATTATGTTTTTTTTCTGCTTTACCAAAGTATTAATAATGGGTAGGAAGAAGATTGCAATAAAGAAGCAAGAGGATGCCAGAGGTTCATTACTTTCTCTGAGAGACGCAAAGGCATGTACAACAAGGCAAGGCTACAGAACTCTGCATGCGTTTCGATGCTCAACTCGCCATTCTTGTGTCCTCCTCTGACACGAACCAGTATTTTTACTCTATTGCTTGCCCTTCGATGGATGCCATCATCGACGTGCTCACCACCGGTTTCTTGCTTGTCGTGGAGGCCAAGCAAGCAATGAGCGCACAGCATCTCGAAATCAAAGAGCTCGAGCAAACACTTGCAGCGGAGAAGGCAAAGCTGAAGAAGAAAATTGGCGGGCTTTGGTGGGAATGTGAAGATTTCGAAAGCTGGGACTCCGTGAAGAAGTTGGAAACCTTTGGGGATGCTTTGGAATGCTTGAAAGAAAACGTGACGAATCGATTAAATGGTGTGGCTCCTGATACCGTCATGCATATATGGAGAGACTAACGATAGTTCTAATGTGGTACACTCAATCTCCGATTCTGGTTAATTCGGGATTCGACGCTGAGGAACTTAATGAATTGTTCACAGGTTCCAAAGAGGGCGATCGTAGTAATTTGAGTGTCGTGAATGGTGATTGTGGTGTCACACAGACTCAAATTTTCGCGGATTTAGGAGTGAACATTGACAAGCTTAATGAATTTTGGGCGAGTCTGGATAACACTAATGGCTTGGCTCAACCAACTAATTGTATTCCAAAATTGGCTAGTATCACGAGTAGTTTTGCTCCGAGTAATGATGTTCACACTCGGATGCCCGTTGGTAACCCTATAGTGGGCGAGTTTGAACAGAATTTACTGAGTAATTTTGGTTCGAGTATTGATGTTCACACTAAGATGCCCCTTGATAATCTGACAATGGGTGAATTTGAAGAGGATTTACTGGACTAGAATAGAGAGAGGGCTAAAGCAAAGATGCTCGTATCAATTCATAAAGTGAGGGCGAGACAATCTCTTTGAAAACTACATCTAAAAACATTGAAAAATGAAATTAGTAATGTTGATGCAAAAATCCTCGCGACTCGAAACGACGGCGTTACCTGCAGAACAAAGGGACGTCACCTCGAATGATACCGGTGGGGTGCTAAGGACCCTCCGACGATCAAGTTAGTACTTGTAATCGTATCACATAATAATTATGTATATCATGTTTAGGAGTTTTTTTACATGCCTTCTTTAACGGCTCGGTGCCCTATTTATAGCTGTCGATTGGAATCAAATTGGTCCTGCAGGAGATCCGCTTGTGCAAGATCAGAGGAGATCGTTTGTTGCCAGATTTGTCGATGATATGATTTATTCCTTTGACTTTATCAAATTGTGCCCAGACTATCCTTACCCTATTGAACCACATCGTCATTTATTATCCTGAATAAGAAATCTCATCATTCTTATCCGATGGAAATCTTTATCTCTGATAACGAAATATGTCGAAGAGGTCTGGCGGTTGGTCAAGATAGGTTAGGTTTATTTTTCCCTATCAGTGGCCCCTCATTCCCAAGCTTGCTTATCTAGCTTTGGGAATGTAAATTTTTATTTTATTTTTTTTTTTGCCCTGGGTACTGTTCCCTCGGGAATAGTGCCTGCGTGGGGTGGGGGATACTGTTCATGTGAACAGTAATTTCTTTTTTTGGCCTTGGGTACTGTTCCTTCGGGTATAATGCCCGCGGGTACTGTTCATGTGAACAACAACTTTTTTTTTTTTTTCCCGCCCTAGGTATTGTTCCCTTGGGTACTATTTTTGGTACCATTGGGTAATCTTTCCTTGGGGTACTATTTTTAAAACCCTTTGGTACTCTGCCCCTAAGTACTATTTTTGGTACCTATGGGTAATCTTCCCCTGGGTACTATTTTTAGTACCCTTTGGTACTCTGCCCGAGTACTATTTTTGGTACCCTTAGGTAATCTTCCCCTAGGTACTATTTTTGGTACCTTTGGGTACTCTGCCCCTGGATACTATTTTTGTTACCCTTGGGTACTCTTTCCCTGGGTACTATTTTTGATATCCTTGGGTACTCTGCCCCTGGGTACTATTTTTGATACCCTTGGGTACTCTTCCCTTGGTAAGAGAATAAATTGTACGAGTTTCACTCAAATCGTCACTCCTTTAATAAGGGGATTAAATTTTACAAGCTTTATTCAGCTCGTCCCTTTAGTAAGGAATTTTTATTTATTATATCTCATAGTAAGGGAATATTGATTACTGGATTCATTCAGCCCGGGTCTTTTTAGTACATGACACTTATTTACTATCCCTTATAGTATGGGGATATTAATTACGGGATTCATTCAGCCCAGATCCTTGTAGTACATGACATTTATTTACTATCCCTTATAGTACGGTGATATTAATTACGAGATTCATTCAGCCTGGGTCCTTGTAGTACAGGATATTTATTTACTATCCCTTATAGTATGGGAATATTGATTACGGGATTCATTCAGCCCGGGTCCATTTAATACAGGACACTCATTATCATCCCTTATATTCCTTTAGTAAGGGAATTAGATTTTTGTCAAGCGTCGGGAATGCCAAGTCCTACTGAGCTAAGCATGTTTGATGATTACTTTCTTGACCCTTTTAATAAGGGAAGTGGATTTGCTCGAGCGTTGTGAGTTCTCCCTTTAATAAGGGATTAGTTAACCCGTCGTCTCTTTATCAAGGGAAGAAAATAAAGTTGACCCTTCGTTCCTTTATGGGGAAAGAGGTGCAGTCTGAAGGAAGGTGACCTCTTTAATACGAGAGGTAGTCGTCTCGTCTTTTTAGTAAATGAAGGAAGCTTTAATTATCTCACCTCTCTTTGTAAAAGGAATAGTCGGCTTCTTGTCCCTTTAATGAGGGAAAAATGTGTTGTTGGCCTCTCGTCCTGGACAACTAGTGCCCTCGAGGGGTCGCTAAAGGAGAGAGACTAGAAACCCAACTAGCTCAATGTACCAAGGTTGGTACGTCAATCTTCTAAACCTTGTCATCATATGCAGATCGACGATTAATATCGTGTGATCCACTATTCTACCCCCGATGGTGGGATCTTGGGTGATGACCCATTCTATAGATGTTTATACAGCGGATGGGGTGTATGGTGCTGCAACAATTTACAGATGTCTAAAAATATTAAATTGTGTTAGAAATTATTATTGAAAATTAACCTGCATTGGATTATCAATCCAAAGTTCTGCATAATTTGAAGTCGATAAGCAATTCCTGCAAAGGAAGAGGGCGACAACTGTCGTCTGGTAGGTGGAGGGTTGGTGTCTAGCGATTAGCGTGATGGGGGCATGGTACCCAACGGCTGACAGATGATGGTCTTGTGGCCAGTACCTCGTTGGGTCCAATGATCGCCCTTCACTTAGGAACCTCCTTGGAAATACAGACCTCATGTAATGATCCGGTCATTTTCCTTCCTTTTATTTTTCTCAGATTTTCACGGATATTTTTTTTACGTTGAT